CCACTGAACTGATATAACAAGTCTGTTACTCACAGGCTAAAGTAACAGAGCAGCTGCCATACATGGAAGGGTGGGAGGGGGCTGCCTTCAGCCTCAGTTTCCATATGTGCTAGTCAGTCATGGTCACCACAGCTTTCCCAATAAGCAAGGCCATTTCCAAGTAGCCTCAGGGAATTGCCAGGGAACCTGCAGCACTGTGTGGTCTCATGCTAGCCAGATGACCAAGATGACACATTGCATGCTCAGCCCCTAGCACATGCTCAGTCCTACGATCCCAGCAGCCAGGGACTAAGTGAGGATGGTGAGCTCAAGTCTAGCCCAGCCTACACAGCCATCTCTAGCATGGCCTAGGAAATGACACTCAACTAGATCTTAACATGCCAGGGCCAGGGCCTCAAACACCCAAGCCACCCAAGCTTGAGACCAGTGCTTGAGCAGTAGATGTCAGGAGAGGAGATATGAGAGTGGGCAGTGAGGGGAGCTGGCTGGGGGAAAGGTCGGCATCAGGCCACCCAATTCTCCAGCACCCTGATCCTCTCTGTACTTAGGGCCTTGATGCCAGCCACAGATTAGCTCCAACCAATCTAGGTAATTAGGTGACAGGTCCCAAGAGATGGTCTCAAAAAAAGTGAATGACGACAAATTTACATAATTAGAAATAAAATAAATTTGAAAATAAAGTGGAGAACAACAGAAGAAACCAGCACCTGGCTCACACACGCACACAGAGTCAGCTGTACTCAGAGCTGAGGTGGTGCTCACCTTGGGGGCCTGTGGAGTCTTTGGCTTCTGGAAGAACCTAGTGATCTCTGCCTTCTCTGCCTTAATGCGCTGTGGTAGAGAGAGAACACGACAGCAATTACTCCAGGGCACTCTGGAATGGCAATACTGTGCTTCAGGTTCTCAAAACCCCAACCCATGAGGCATCTGCCCAGCGAGGAACTGGTGCTGACAGCAGTCAAGGAAGCAAGGCAGGGTCTGAGAAGGTGCAGTCCCCTTGGGGCCTGCTGCCCCAACACTGAGACACAGAAAGCACCCTGATGCCTCAGTGTCTGGAGGGGCAGGGGAGGTTGCCAGGCTACCTTCTCTTCTTCTCGTAACCTCTTCTCCTCCTCTTTCTTCCTCTTCTCCTCCAGTTTAGCCCTGGGAGACAGGACACACAAGCTGTGTAAGCCAGAAGTCAGCCGCCCACCTTCCTGTTGTGCTGCGACAAGCTAAGGCCCTGGCACTAACAAAACAAAACGCACAGCTTCTCTTCTCTTTGCTTCCGAGATAGTCTTCCTAGGCAACCCCAGTTTAGCAACTGCAATCCCCCTGCTTCAGACTAGGTGCTAACATTACAGGTATCCCAAGTCTCCATATAAAATTATTATTTTGAGAGGCTGGACAGATGGCTCAAAGGTTAAGAGCATTGCTTGCTCTTCCAGAGGTCCTGCGTTCAATTCCCAGCAATCACATGGTGGCTCACAACCACCTATAATGAGATCTGGTGTCCTCTCTGGCGTGCAGGTGTACATGCAGGAAGAACACTGTGTACATAAGAAATAAATCTTTTTAAGAAATTATTATTTTGAGATAGGGTCTCACTATACAGACAAATCTGATCTGCTGATCCCCCAGCACGAGTACAGATTAAAAGAGGTAGAGTGAAAGCTTGCCATGCATGAGGCCCTGGGTTCCAGCCTCAACAAGTCAAAAGCCAGAAGTGGTGGTGCCTGCTGACCATCCCAGCACTAGGTGGAGGCAGGAGAATCAAAGCCCCAACGTCATCCTCAGCAACATGACTCACTTGTCATTTATTAGTCTCAACCACCTACATGCAAGGCACAAAGAATGATTTTTAGTGGGCAGGCATGGAGGGGTTAATCTTTTAACCCCAGCACTCGGGAGGCAGAGGCAGACCTGGTCTACAGAGTGAGCTCCAAGAGAGCCAGGGCTATACAGAGAAACCCTGTCACAGAACAAAACAGTGCTATCACAAAAGAAACATCTCACAGCACAAGAGCGGCTGTGAGTTTTCAGTGTCGAAACCTCATAGGATACAGCAGCCATCAACTGAAGCAACAGCCCAGCTAGGAAACTGAGTAAGAAATCCTGATGGGACCAGAGCATCTAAACCAAAACCCCCGGAACCATTGCCAGACAAAGCCTGCAGCCACACAGAAAGAACACAGGTCAGAAGTCAACTGCACCCTCTCCAGTCAGGCTCCAGTGAGACAGACAGAAAGGATTTGGCACAGAACACTGCTGGGGAGAGCCTCTGGGGGCCCCCACCACTCACTCCAAAGCCTCTTGCCGCTCCTTGCGTCGCTCCTCCTTGAGCCGCTGCTTCTCTGCCTTCTCCTTCTCATCCTTCTCCCGCTTCTCCCTCCGCTCCTTCTCCTTCAGCTCCTTCTCCTCCTCCTTCCTCCTCCGAGCCTCCTCCTTGGCTCGCCGTGTCTCTTCTCTTAGCTTCTCCTTCTCCTCCCTCTGCTGTTCTCTGTCCTGTGAAGATAGTGGCAAAGGAGTCCCACAGGTGACCTGTGGCAAGAACTGCCAGAGTCCAGGCTTCAGTTCAGCACCAAAGACATCTGGTGGTTGCCAGGTGACGGTGCTCCACATAGCCCAAGTTGACTCAGATTCCCTACATACACTCAAGCATGGCTTGATTTCTTTTCAACAGGAGCCTGGTGGACGAGTATTAAACAGAGTCCTGGGTTGGACTCCAATGCCCAGCAGAGACCCTTCTGGAATTAAGCTCTAGTCCAGCAGGTCTCTCCACACTGAAGCCTGAGCCCTCAGTCTGGCTGCTGCACCTTCACGTGTGCTGCTCACAAAGACTGAATTGTACCTGGCGCTGCAGGCATGCCATCTGTAACTGGGAGATGAGGCTAGCCTGGCTTACACAGCGAGCCTGAGAGATACGACAGATGGGACTGGGGTGTACCTCGGAGGCCCAGTACATTCAGCATGCAAACAGCCTGCCTTTCTCATACTAACCCTCAAATACCAAATGCCTATGGAGCACCAGCTGGCACAGCAGGGCCTAAACTTTTTCACATTAGTGTCTCCTTCCCCCCACGGGCCACATGATGACCTAGAGATCGAAAAGCCATAAGCAGTTATCACCTCTGCACTGTCTGGGGCCACTTCCGTGTGAACCCAACTCACACCCTTCCAAGGAGAATGAGACTATGACAAATGCATTTTGCTTGATTCTGTTTTTGTTTTTTTTTAAAATATTTTTCATGGTTTATTTAACTTTATCTTATGTGCATTGGTGTGAAGGTGTCAGATCCCCTGCAACTGGATCTTTAGACAGTTGTGAGCTGCCATGTGGGTGCTGGGAATTGAACCCACGTCCTCTGGAAGAGCAGTCAGTGCTCTTAACCACTGAGCCATTTCTCCAGCCCTTGATTCTGGTTTTTGATTTTTTTTTTGACTCAGTATATAGCCCTGGCAGCACTTGAACTCAATGCCCCTTCGAAGGGAGCTTTTCCACTACCCACATTACACTAGCAAGGCCTGCACACTCAGGACACCCAGACCATCATCACTGTCAGTGCAGTGGCAGCACAAGCAGCAGAGCCCAGAAGCACAAAGCTCGGAGAGCCAAGAGGGCCTTACTCTGTGCAGTTTGCTCCTGCCCTTCTCCATGGAGCCTCTGACGAATTTCTTGTCATCCTGAAAAGAAAGACAGAAGAACTTAGATCATATTCCTGAGGGACTCCATCCCACCCCATGGGAAGGGCAACAGGACTTGGAGCCTGCAGGCTTATAGACTACATCACAGGTGTAGTCTATAAGCCCCAGGAGAGCCAAGTAATTAGCAGTTGACTTTTTTGGAGCACAAGGACCTGATTAAGCACAAACACAGAAAGAGCCAGGTGCAATGACAGACACTTTTAACCCTAGCACCAGGGACCAAAAGATAGGAGGACCCCTGGGCGGCAGTCTACCTCAAGTAACTGGCTCAGGCCCAAGTGGTGGACATAGTCAGAATAAAAAGGGGACAAGATGTTCAGTGTGGTGGCCATGCCTTTAGTTTCAGCACTGGAGAGGCAGAAGCAGCCAGCCAGCATGGTGAATATGGCAAGACTCAGGCCAGCCAGGGAGACAAAGTGAGACCCCGTGTCCTGCTCCCTAAAAAGGATGAATATTGCCTGATGATCAGTAATGAAGGTTGTCTTCTGGCCTCCACTCTCACACAGGAACCAACCCACAAAGGCTGTTTGTCAAGGATAATATAGTTCATAGGTACAATCACCCAGAAAGAAGGGCCGAGTGTGTGGTCAGAGGTGGGGTCCCCCTCCCATTATTGAGACAAAGCAGAAACAAAACAGAAATACTGTTGAAGCCAGAGCAGTGGTGGTACATGCCTTTAATCCCAGCACTCAGGAGGCCGAGGCAGGAAGATCTCTGTGAGTTCAAGGCCAGCCTGGTCCACAGAGCTAGTTCCAGGACAGGTTCCAAAGCTAGAGAAACTGTTTCGAAAAACCAAACAAAAAACCAAAAATCAACCCCCCCAAAAAACATTGTTGCAAAAGTCTTTTCCAGCAACAGTAGTAAAGGTTACAATAGGGCCAGCATACAAAGGCCTTATTCAGATAAGTTGGACAGAGGTAAAATGAACAGAGAGAAGCCAGCAGTGGCAGCACTGAGCAGGAAGCCAGCTCCTCCCCATCCCACCCCACTGTGTTTACCGGAGCTGGCCTGCAATCCAGTCTTTCCTACAAGGTCAGGCTCATTAGGACCTTGTAGCTACAGGGAAACATTACCAGCAAGGGGCCTGGTTTCCATGGTGCTGGGGATGGAACCCACCACGGCTTTCTGCTCTGGGTGAGCTCTAAAGCATTTGTGTGAGGTAAAATCACCTGTGCTTCCATACTGGGCTTGAGTCCTGGATTCAAAAGATCCTTCTGCCTCAGTACCTCAGCACCAGTGCAAGCTCAGCAGAGCAACCCTGCTTCCCTGTCCACACAGCTCAGCAGCATCTACACAGCATCTGGTGTGGCCTCCTTCAGACACATACCATGATGGGCACCACTTCCTGCTCTGGGCAGAATGACAAGGAAAGCTGCTTGGACACGTTCACATCCAACATGTGATGTTTCCAGATCCAAGTTTTCTTCTGGAACTTTCCCTGCCCAGACCTTGGTGTTCTGAGCCAAAGTCTCCCTCTGTTGCCCAGGCCTGGCCTTGAATTTTCAATCCTTCTGCCTCTAGGAAGAAAGGTGTGCACCTTCCTTTGGAGTGGTTTTGACCTGGCTTTGTTGAATGCAACATAGGTACAGGAACTTGAAAACAGCCTGGCAGTCAGAGGGCTAACATGGCACAAAGGCAAAGACTCGGGAACACGGCTGCACCAATACCATCCTGAATGCAATACTATGTGTTGCCAGATACTACGTTGATTGACAGGTCTCACAGCATAGAAACCTGACCTCTGCCAGTGGAGAAACTATGCTAAGAACTTTCTCTGATGCAGAAGACGCCAGATGGTCTAATCGTACCGTGTCAGGGTGAGTAGAAATCCCAGCACCTGGGCCTCAGAAGCAGGAGAATCTCTGTGAGTTCAAGGAAGGCTGGGGTTATACAGTGAGAGCCAGTCTTAAAACAAAATAAATTAAGGCCAAGGAGCCAGCTAAGCATGTCAAAGTGCTTGTGAGCAAGCCTAACATCAGAGTTGGTTCAAGCTAACTCCCTGATGCCACCCTGACCTCAGAACGTGCGCGCGCGCGTGCACACACACACACACACATACACACACACACAAATTAAAAAGTGTTACATGGAAAATGGCGAGCAGCCTCTTGAGAAGGAGGGTAAAAGACGCAGCACGTGACTGAGATGTTTTCACCCGCCTCTAACATTTGCTATTCTGCCTTGCTGTGATCCAGCTGCACCCTGGGTTAGGATACCAGGAAATGGAATCAGCTTAGCTCTTCATTAACTGCTGAATGGATCATGAAAATGCAGTTCATTGACACAATGGAATATTATTCAGCTGCTAAGAAAAATGAAACTATGATGTTGGGCACTGGTAGCATCATAATTTCCCGGCACTCAGAGAGACAGGTAGATCTCTGTGAGTTCCAGGCCAGCCTGGGAAAACTGAAAAAGAAAAAAATGAAATTATGCAATTTGCAGGAAATTCATCCTGGGTGAGGAACCCAGACCTAGAAAGACAAATGCCACCACAGTCTCCCATCTGTGGATGCCATCCCTGAATCCTTAAGTCTAGTAGGCCCACACTGGAACACTCACAGAAGGCAGGAAAGCAGCAGAGCAATGAAGGGAAAAGCATCTGCTGGGAGGGATATGGACCAAGAGGAGGGTTAAATGGGGTGTGGTAAATAACACTGAAGGCGTTTGACTACGTGATACAAAAGCTCACTACTGTAGAAGCATCCTAGCTCATGCATGCATGGGATTTAAATGGAGCTGCCCTAATTGGCTGTGGTAATTAATTCCCCTTAGGTTCTTCTTTTAAAGACATGTTTATACTTGAAAGTTTTGTCTTCATGTGTCTGTCACCATGTATGTGCCTTGTGTCCTCTGAAGGAGCAAGTAATCTCCAGGCCTGAGCCTTTGATGTGCTGTGTTCTTATCTTTACACCCACAGACAAGTCAGCTCTCACCCCAGAGGCTTCTTTTTTGAGATACCACCAGATAGTCTCACAACCTCTACATGCAAGACAGAGGTACTCGGCTCTACATGAGATGGTTATATCACCTCCTGCCATCAAGGCGCAGGGATCTTAGGGAAGAGGGGCGAGAAAGGTGAGAGCCACATAGACACCTGCAATGAAACACTGTCGTGCACATGAATTTACAGCAGCTGTGACTGCAAGCACAAGACCCACACAGATCAAGCTGCACAAAATTCCAGCACAGATGGGGAACAGCCATGAACCTCCACCTGTAGTTTCGGAGTTACTGAGAAAGGGTGGCTGCCGGGAGATGGGAGGATCAGCCTTCTAAGGGATGTGGTCCGAGAGGTCACTTAAGGCCAGTAGATGGTCCCCGTGGCGCATGTACAGGAGCACTAACTGGACTCAGTAGATTTAAAAAACAAGAGCAGGCAACTTTTTGCCACCTGAAACCCCACAGACCTAGTTCCAAACCCCTAGATGCCAAGTCTTTCGGTGTATAAGCCTTCTTTCCTGGGTGGCATAGCCACCTCTCCTCAAAGATGCCAATTCTCACAGCAACCACAACTGGGCACAACACAGACATCAAATCGTGGGGTGCCCAGCCTGGGATAATCTACAGCGCAGCTCCTGCATTTATGGTTTGGAGAACACGGCGGGAGAGTGGGTGGAAAGACGGTAGGAGCCAGAGATCAGATAGTTGCTGTGACGGTGTCTCCTAGAAAAAGCTGCATAAACAAGACCTGAACAACGGCAGCACCAATGGGCAGGCTAACACAGAACGTGGAAAATCTCAAGGGGGCCCTACCCCTAGACAAACAGCTATGGACAAATAGTGACAGCTGAGAGAAGGAGAATTAGCCTCTTCTAGAAATGAGCCCTCTTATTGTTGTCCACTGCAGAGTGGTCAGACCTGAGATCATCCACACAAACAACAAAAACTCCACAGGATGTATTTATACATATCTTTGTGCATACGCACCTCTCTCTCTCTCTCTCATACACACACACACACACACACACACACACACACACACACACACACAAAGAGGCTACCAATATGAGAATGTAAGACACGGCAGGATTAGAGGGAGAAGTGATATAATTCCATTTTAATTAAAAATATATTTTTTAAAAATAAGAGCTCATAAGGCTGGGAATGGTGGTGCACACCTTTAATCCCAGCACTTGGGAGGCAAAGGCAGGAAAAAAACAACTCATGAATTTGAAGGGGAGAGAAGAATTTGGAGGGAAATGGAAAGAAATGTATTTGATCTAAACACGTCCTAAGTATGTATAGAATTCTCAAACACAAAACAGACAAGGTACCAACACTTGGGAAGCACAGGCAGGTAGGTGGATCTTTGTGAGTTCGAGGTCAGCCTGACTTACACAGCAAGTTCTAGGACAGCCAGGGTTATGCAGACCCTCAAAAAACAAAATGAAAAAAGACAAGAACTGTCTTACAAGCTGAGAAAATGGCTGTCCCCGATAGGAGAAGGGCTGGTTGGTTGTGAAAGGAGAGGATCCCTACAGTGACTCCCATGCAGTGAGACATGCAGACATTAGGGACCAAGTAGGGATTAAAAAGTTACAGGGGCAAGAGCCACACCTAGCTGTATCAGCTGTATTGACTGTCACCTGGCTTATGGCCAGCATGGTCTATACAACAAGACCCCATGTCAAAGCCAGAAACTATCCAGACAGATCCTGATCTGATAGGTTGGAAAAGCCTTGAGTTCTAGATTTACTGGGGTCAGGAATCAAGTCAAACTTCACAAGGTGGATCTATGATTCAGCTAGGGGCAGAAAAAACAAGATTAATGGACACGGCAAACATCTCGATGCATCAGGGGATAAGGAGATTCTACAAACTGAAGATAAAGCTGAACTCAGGAGGTGGGATGCACAGACAGGATGGCCAATGAGGCTGGAGGAGCAGGCAGCAGCTCCAAGTTCTGTTTGTCAAGGGAGCAAGTCACCACATCCCTTAGGATGACTGTGTTCTCAGTAAATGAAGTAATTCCACACATCAAAAGTCACAAAGGCACAGGGCAGTGGTGCAGGGCACCTTCAGTCCCAGCACTTGGGGCCAGAGGCAGACAAAGCACTTTGAGTTCAAGGCTAGTCGGGTCTAAAGTACTAGTTCTAGGACAGTCAGGGCTACAGAGAGAAACCGTGTCTTGAGAAACAACAACAAAGTCACAAAGCCACCGAGACTGGTGATAGAGTCAGACCTCACAGAACAAAGCACCCACGCCAGGGTCCATCCAAACGAGATCTACTGTGAACAAATGTAAGAGCCTCACAACCAGAAGATTTAGAGATCCTGACTGTTTAAGACTCTTTTCCAACTACACACTCCAGACTGGCCTCACTCAATGGCAAACGCTGGGATTACAGGCATGTGCTATCATGTCTGGTTTGGATGAATTTTTACAGTTTTATCTGAGATCTTAAGGACAGTTGAGAACTGATACATCTGTCACTGTGCAGATTTAAAGCCAACAAAGTGAGACACCATGACATTTGAAATGCCACGTCCTCCCACACACAAGACTCCCTGAACTTGACACGATCACCAGGCCAGCCTGGTCTACAGAGCAAGTTCCAGGCCAGCCAAGGCTACATAGAGAAACCGTCTTGAAAACAAACAAAAAACCCTGACACACAAGCATACACCAATCAAAACCCATTATATGTAATCACAATGTTTGGGAGGCTGAGGCAAGAAGATTTTGCATTCAGGGCCAAACAGGACCAGGTATGAAGACTTAACAAAAACAAGACAGCTGGGGATACAGCTCAGTGGTAAAGTGCTTGCCTAGTATGTGTGAGGGCCCCAGGTTTCTATGCATAAGGCAGGTAGCCTGGCTCTGAGTTACTCTTCCAGGCCTTGTTGACACCTGGCTAGTGGTGACCTCAGGATGGTCATTTTGGTGGAGAGGGATGTGAGCTCACTTCCAGGTTCTGGTGGTCCATCTGGGCTGCATCAGGGAAGGCACCCCTGGACAGACCACTACTTGAGCCTGGTCACAACATGCTTCGGCACTCCTTGTCCCAAACGCTCAGGAGCATCTGTTGCAAATGTTTGTCATCTGAAATGCGGGTTTTGACCTCTGGATGAGGGGCCCCAAAACCAAATAATTGATTTCCATTCTGTGAACCTTTTTTTTTTTTTTTTTTTTTCTAGACAGGTTCTCACTATGCAGCCCTGGCTGTCCTGGAACTCACTATGCAGACTTCAACTGAGAATGTCCACCTGCCTCTGCCTCCCGAGTTGCTGGGATTAAAGGTGTGCATGTCACCGGTCAGCCAAATAACGGTTTTATGATTAGCTTGAGAGAGAATCTCATGTACTCATGTAGCCTAGGTTGGCCTCAAATTCACTATTTAGCTGAGGCTGACCCTGACCTCCTGTCTCTACCTCCCCAGTGCTGAGATACTAAGTTTCTGAGGTGCCTAGAATGGAGCCAAGTGCCTCAAGCATGCAGGACCAGTGCTCTACCCACTGCAAGGCCCTGTCAATACCCTGGGATTACGTGAGGTGGGTACTCACTCTGCAGATGGGTGTGGAGGGGGGGCTGGTCCCACTGAGCTGTGCTGGGGGTTCAGATGGTCCCTCAGGAGAGCTGGTTGGAGAAGAGCTGGTGGGGGAGCGGCTCAGTGTGGAGTCATCCTCAGGGCAGGACTCCAGCACCTCACTCTCTGAAGTGATACTCCTGTCCAGGGACATCGTGGGAAGAGAGGTGTGGAGAGGCTTAGTGGCCAGAATGTCCTCAAGCACCACCATGGGCACCTTTTCTATAAAAAGAAGACCCCCTGCCTTGCTCCAGCCTGATGGTTCCTTTATGTGGGATGTCCTGGAACCTGTGATCAGCTCAGGACAGCTCTGTAATAAGTCAGCCTGACAGTCACCCGTCCTCTCTGGGCCTCCTGGGCTCCCAGGCTCCTCCTCCAGAAGGCAAGGAATGTCTGCAGGGGTCTCTGGGAGACACTGCTCCACTGTGGAGGGTCCCTGCTGCTTGGCGGCTCCTTCTGCTGGGGCATCAGGACTTGGTTCACTGGGGCCCTCAAGGTTGTCTGGAATGTCACTGGAGTTCTCAGTCAGGTCGATGATGACCACACTTGGCCCTGGCTTTATTGTGGTCCTCAAGAAGCTATCAATGGGGCCTCGGCCACTGACCAGCTTTGGACTCAAGCCTACATGAGAACCTGTGTGACAGCGGTTTTCCAAAGTGTCCAAGGACAATTGTAGATCCGGAACTTTATCTTCCACAGACACTTTTGGTGATGTGTCCTCAGCTTTCTCCTTGGGAACAAGGTTCAGGCGTTTGAAGGGCAGGCGGGCTGAAATGAAGAGAAGCAATATCTTCAGTGACAGCAGAGGGAGACCATCAACCCGTGTTCAAAATCTGAGTGTCTGGGCATTAATGGCCAGGAGTCTGTGGCAAAATTTTCAAGCCTAAACATGGAGTTGTTGTGGGTTGGAGAGATGGCTTCAGCTATAAAGAACAATGACTGCTCTTACACAGGAGCTGAGATCAATTCCCAACACCCACATGGTGGCTCACAACCACCTGTTCCAGGGATGTGATGCCTCCTTCTGAGCTCCAAGGACCAGGCATGCACATGATGCACCAACAACATGCAGACAAAACACCCATACACAGAAAATTTTAAAAGGGGTAGGCACAGCTGGAGGCTGGAGATCAAACTCAAGCAGGGAGGCTTGGCAGCAGGCACTTTTACCTGACCTCCAGGGCTCACTCCCAACTCCGTACATTTAAATGCCAAGTATCACTGGTTAATTCTACATAAGTAAAAACCCAAACCAACCTTTTCCCTACGTTTGGTCAGCTCATGAAACACAGCTGCCCTGAGGTTTCAGGCTCTGCTGATTCCTCCCACCCAGGACCCGTCTCACCAAAGTTAGTCTGGCAGGGAGTCCTAAGGGAAGAGGGAACTGCTAGGGGCCAACCAGATGGACAGTTGGGCTCTTCAATGGGAGCCTTGATCCTTGACAAAATCCCACTGCCACTGGGACCAAGGGCAAAGGAATAAGAGACATTCATGTGCTGCCTAGCAGTACTCTACACACAGGTAGTCAGTGCCTGGTTGCTTCAATTTGGGGGCAGCTATTGGCACTTACTGGGAAGGGGCCAGGGTGGCACAGAGACAGCAAGCAGAACACGCCTCCCCAGTACAGAGACCACCAAAACATCAGAAAGATGGTTCAGTGAATAAAGAAGGCATTTGCTGCCAAGCCTGATGCAAAGATCCACATGAGGAGGAGGAGAAAAGACTTGCACAAGCAGTCTTCTGGTTGCCACGTGTATGCCTCAGAATACATACCCAGCACATGTGTACACATGCACAGATGAATCACTATTAGATTTATTTGTACACAAATCAAATGGTAACCCTGGCCCAGGGTGCAGCTCTGCCTCCCGGTCCAGTCTAGACTTTGTAGCTAGTAGGTAAGCTGGACTAAAGAGTAGGACCCCATCTCAAAAACCAAAGCCCAGCAGCTTGAGAAGTGGCTCAAGGCTTGAGAGCACTTCCTACTCTTGTAAAGTTGGGTCCCCAGCACATGAGGTGGCTCACAGCTGCCCATAAATTCTGTTCCTGGGAATATGACTACCCATGGCCTCTGCAAGCAAGTGGTGCACACATCACCCACAGATATACACCTAATTAAAGAAAATTTGATGGATCTTGAGCCCATTTGGTGGCTCACAACCATCTGTAGCAAGGACCTTCCACCTGCAGTGGGCACTGCATACAGACGGCACATTAAAATACAAGGCCAAACATTCAGAGAGACAAATGTCCCATAATAAATAAACAAGCAACAAATTTTCTCTTAAAATATGCACACAGTAGTAATCATTCAAAAATAAAAATAAGCAAATTAAAACACAATTGCCTTCAGCTCATGCACATACAGTATCCATGGAACTAGTTCAATTCTAAACTCACAGTGAGCCCCACGCACATCTAGGCTCACCATATATACACATATCCCAAAGACAAGTCTGGAGTGGGTGCAGCTCAGTGGTGCAGGGCTTGGCTGTCATATGAGGCCCTGGGCTGTGTTCCAGCATCAAAACTGAAGAGGTAAGATGTAAGAACACCTGAGACCTCCAAAGGTTAGTGAGCAACACTTTGGAGGGCGCACCTGCTGCCCTCCCCTCAGCTCCTTACTGAGGATCCCACAGCAGCCAATGGAGAAAAGTCAGGAATCAGATTTAGGGCTTTCCCAGCCCCTAATTACCTTGTATCAACCTCTTCAATGGGAACCCTGGTCTGTCTTTGCAATCCATAGCTGTGGGTAAAAGAAGAGCAGAAGTTACTAAGGGTGAGGGTCACTGGCCAGCTAATGACCACAGCAGTCACACACAAGCAGCCCCCATTGAGGTTCCCATGCCCTGCCTGTTTCATCTGGCCTGTCTCTTCTCTTGAGACAGGATCTCATAGCAAGCCTTCCAAGCGTTGGAACACCAGGCACAAAGTACCACGGCCTACTTTTACAGACTTAAAAAAAATTCTTAGTTTGCTTTCCATCTAGGGTCTCAGTATGTAGTTGTGGATGGCCTGCCTGCCCCTGCCTCTCAAATGCTGGTAATGATGGCTACACCCCACCCAGCTGCCGTTTACCTTTCTTATTTATGTATGCACGTGTATATGTGTGCATAGGCGTCTGAGCTCAAAGGAGTTACAGGCATCTGTGAGGTACTGGATGTAAGTGCTGGGACTTGATCCAAACTCTGGTCCCCTGTAACTGCTGAGCATTTCCCCTCCCTCGCACTTTCTACATTTGCCACACGGTGTGTCAGAGCACACCTCACAGGGGCCAGTCTACATGTTGTTATCGTGACAGCACCCAACGGTCAAGTTTGGCAGCAGGTACTCTGACCCTTAAGCCCTAACATCAGCCCATAGAGACAGTTTTTATGGTTGGGGTAAGATTTTGGGGGTGCTGCTCACTTCTAGCTGATACACAGGCACTCCCCTTGAACAGCCTGCAATGAATAGGCCAGCCCCATAACAAAGTCTTACTAGGTTCAAAATATTAATACTGAACAATTCTACCCTAGACTCAGTCCCCCGCTTTTGAGTTTCTCTGTGGGCCTCGCTCAGAAACTGCTGTATTATATCCCCTACAGACCTGATCCACGCTGTACCCAGACTGCCCTCCTCAATACTTGAATATACTGGGAACTGATGAACAGTGAGCAAAAAGCAAGTGCATGAGAGAACCAGGACTAAGGAGGTAGAGGTAAGAAGATTGCTTCAACTTCAAAGTCACTCTGGGCAATACAGAATTCTAAGTCAGTTATGGCTAAACTGCCCAAGGCTATCTCAAAAAACAAGTGAGAGCTGGTGAGATGGTTCTGTGGGTTAGAGCGCTTTCCAAGTCTGGGTAGCAGTTAAGAGCATCAACCGCTCTTCTAGAGGACCCAGATTCAAGTCTCAGCTGCCTACATGGCAGCTCACAACTGCCTGTAACTCCAAGATCCGACACCCTCACACAGACATACATGCAGGGAAAACACCAATGCACATAAAATTAAAAATAAATAAAAATTATTTAAAAAAAACCTCAGGAACTATCTAAACACATCAAAATCCATGCATGTTGGACAATAAATAGAACCTGTTTTTTGTTTGTTATGAGACAGTGGCTTTCTATGTAGCCCTGGCTGTCCTGGAACTCAATATGTAGATGAGGCTGGCCTAGAACTCACAGAGATCCACCTGCCTCTGCTTCCCAAGTGTTAGGAATAAAGGTGTGCGCCACCATGCCTAGCTTAGAACTTGTCCTTGGGTAAAAGCCTTTAAACAGATAGTTCAAGTGTAGAAACTGACACCTGCTAGGCAGTATGTTTTACGTGGACAAAAAAACCTCCTTCAGTAATTTGTAATTTCCATACATTTTACTAATGCTACATGGAATTCAGACTCCACTCTGGACAACCTCAGCTGTCCCGACTGGAGACAGCCTGCTCACCCCAGCTTAGAGACTTGGACCCTACCCAGAACATCCATGTTCCTTTTTTTCTATTTGAATGGAAGAAAAGAAAACAACATTGCTCCGTTTTCTATTACCAAAAAATATAGATTCCCCCCCCAAGACATCCTTTCTTTAAAACTTTTATTATTTTAATTAGTTTGTTGTGAGGGAGGCTTGTCTTGTAGAATTGATTCTCTCCTATCTATGATAGAATTCAGTTGGTGAGAGACCAAGTCAATCTGGAACTCATCATCTCCTGTCTCAGCTTCTAGGACGCTGGAACTGCAGATACAAACTACCATACCCAACTTGTCTTTATTAAGCAGTGCTGGTTTTAAACGTTCTGCCTTGGTTAAATAAAAGCAATGCTCTATGATAGTCCTGATAGTTTTATGAATATTAATTATGTTTTCATAAAATCACAAGCCAGTGAGGGCAACAGTTCTAGCCTCCTGGGATACCAGGCTGGGAGAGGGGACGGTGCACATCTTTGATGGTCAGAACCGTAGAGGGAGCCAACATTATCCCAGAAAAGGATGGAGATCGAGGACACTGTTCTCTATCCCTGAAACTGCCCACTCACATCCAAACTGGCAGACTGGTATACTGAACCCAGAAGGGACCGTCCTAAAATGTCCAAGTGGTGCTCAGTTGGTGAAATCTTAGTCCATCAGGACAGCCCCCATCACTTCCAGTCCCCGAGTCCTTCAAGCCACACAGGGTGGCATTCAGTGCCAACCGTTGGGAGTACAATTCAGTCAAGCAGCGAGACTGGACACCCCACATTTAGTGAACCTGCCGCAGGCTACAAAGACTCCTAACACGTACCTCGGAGGGCCATACCACACTCACAAAAGAGAGATTCCTGGTCACGCTTGCCACCCAAAGCCTCCACCATTCTTGGCTTGCCCTGACCCGCACAGCTGCGGGATTCTCCGGTGTCCAGGGCTCAAGGGACCACAGGCCTGTTTCCCCATCCACTGCAAAGGTCCGATTCACTCGAGCATTCACAAATGCATTTAATAACTTGCTCAACTGACTCTACTCCGTCCTTGGCCTCAATTTCCCCACCCGCTACTAGAGGACACAGATGTATTCAGGACTCATCAAAGACGACCAGGGCTTGTTTACTCATCTGCTACTAGAACCTAGATATTTGGGCAACACAGAGCCTTCGGGAACTTGCAAAGATGACTCTTCCCCATCCCTGGGGCCTCAGTTTCCCCTTTGGGAGCCCTCCCGTCTCTGCCTTTCGGCCCCCCAGGCCACCCGGGAGCGGACCCGGTCCTTCAGGTCCAGCTTCACTCACCAGCGGCTCGCGGCGTCGCGACGTCCGGCTCCTCCAGCATCGCGGCGGCGGCGGCTCAGGCTTCACTCAGGCGGCCCCGCTGTGCTCTCCGCCTCCCGCCGATGCCGCCACTGCTGCCGCCGGTGCCGCCGCGCTCGTATTTGGCGGGAACCGCGGCAACCTCCGCGGCCCGCGCGCCGATTGGACGAGAGCCCATCACGTGACAGCCCTGCCTCAGGAAAAGAGGTGCGCTCGGCGTGTCCTCGCGAGAACTGTGGCTCGTTTGCCCGAAAATCCCGCGGGAGGTGGAAGGAGGAGGGCTTCTTTCCGGCGGTTCTTGAGTGGCTGGGGAGAACTACGTTTCTACTGGTCCTAAGAAATGTCAATCTAAGAATTCTCCCTTTTATTGGGTAATATTCTTGGAAAAAGGCGGGACAGTACGTCACGATCGGTGCCAGTGACAACTTGAAATTACGGATTAAAGCAGGAGTCTGAAGTGAGTTTATCCTAATTAGTGATTGATTAAAAGTAACTACTGCAATTATAATTGGAGATTACTTTCTTTCATTGTTAACTCATAAATTACTTCCCTTTTAACTATAAACTACTATTTTAAAATTGTGAGTGGCTTTTCTGAAATGATGAACCGCTTTTGAAAAAATTACGATTTGCTTTATTTTTAAGTAGAATTTTCCGTTGTAAAATTATAAATTATTTTTTAAAATTGTGAGTTACTTTTTTAGTGTGAATTACTTTGAAGATATATTAATTGAAAAATTATTCATTGAGTCTGGTGGTGGGAGGTTTTTTTTTTTTTAAATATTTATTTATTATGCATACAATAGTCTGTCTGTGTGTATACCCGCAGGCCAGAAGAGGGCACCAGACCCCATTATGAGATGGTTGTGAGCCACCATGTGGTTGCTGGGAATGGAACTCAGGACCTTTGGAAGAGCAGGCAATGCTCTTAACCTCTGAGCCATCTCTCCAGCCCCCATGGTGGGAGTTTTTAATCCTTGTATATGGGAGGCAGGGGCAGGTGGATCTCCTTGAGTTCAAAGACATCCAAATCTGCATAGCCAGTTCCAGACCAGCCGGCGATACACTGCATCAAAAAAATATTAATTGCTTTTTTAATTTATTTTATTTTATTTTGAGACAGGGTCTCACAATGCAGCCTTGCTGACCTGGTACACACCAACCAGATTCTAAAATATTTAGACGAAGGAAGAAACCTTTTACTCCTTCACCAGCAAAGAGCTCAGAACCCACAACAGTTCTTTTCCTGATGTTGTGGCTAGTAAGTGGGTTATTTGGCTAATAAACTAATTGTCTGTACTGCTTGGACCTCATCACATCTTTGACTGGCTGCAGTAGAATGTGACTGAATTGTGCAGATCTTTTGAAGCCGGTCCTACTGTTGTATACCTATCAACCCTGCACTTGGGAGGTGAAGACAGGAAGACCCAGAATAAAGGCCAAAGTAGGCTGAAGTTTGAGCCTGGGCTCCATGATACTCCATCTCAAAACGCATATAAAATAAAGAACATCCTTGTGTGAATCTGTGGGTTGCTGGCATGCTAGGAATCTGGCTGTAGTCTCCAGTTGTTACATACATACACACACACACACACACACACACACACACACACACACACACATGGTTTTTGAAATCAGGCATGCTGTCATAGGCCTGCCATGGCAGCACCAGGGAGATGATCAGGAGTTCAAGACCAACTTGTGCTATATGGTACCCTGTCTCAAAAAAACCAAAACGACTCATAATCCAAACTATTTATAAAGGATCGTTTAATCATGTCCAATACGGATGACACAAACGTGTTCTTTTGCTTTGCTGCACTGCATTCTGTTGAGTCATTTGGAACCTTCCAGAACTCCTTGGCTTCATGAAGTCATTCAAACGTGTCAGCAATTTCATCGCCAGATTTTTAAAATTCTTTCACCCTAAACATCTTCCTGTTCCTACTTTAGGATCTATTTACTCATCACCCCCATTTACTATTAATCTCCAAGTTACTAGACTGGTGTGTAACTGGTTATGTAACCCATGCGTCCTGCTTCTCAGTTGCTGGGATTAAAGGTGTGCATTGCCACACCTGGCATATCCTATATACGTTTTGATATAAACGTTTTGATATAAACGTATTCTATATACACAGTTGATATAAGGAGTAAAGTGCGTGTGTCAATCTGGGGAAGTTTTATCAAGGAGGTGACATTCCAGCCACAGACACCTTTTCTTGTTTCGGTAGCTTTTGACCAAACATTTTGATTTTGTTTTTGTTGTCAGAGCATTTAATCACAGTCACGGGAAGACAAATGAAGACGCCTTCTAAACTGGAGACTCTAGGTCGAGTTTTTAATATTATTTTATTTTTATCTTTAAAATATGATTTTATGTTCTTTATTTGTTGTTTTTTCGAGACAGGGTTTCTCTTTGGAGCCTGTCTTGGAACCAGCTCTTGTAGATCAGATTTTTAAGTTATGGGGCTACAGGTGATCCTCGCGGCCAGGAGTGGGCGGACCTGGAGCTGGAGTTACAGGTAGTTGTGCTGTGGGTTCTGGGAACCGAACTACGGTTGTCGGCCAGGACAGCAAGCCATGAATCCCTCTAGCCCCTACGAGATTGTTTCCATTTTATTCTCTATTTTATTTATTATGCTTTCCAGCGGGCCAGGATAGCCGTGAACTTTGACAGAATCTTTCCTTAGGAGCCCCGCGAGATGGCTGTGGGTAAAGCGCTTACAGCGGAGCCTGGAGACATGAGTTCGATCCTGGCGTCTTAGATGGTGGAAGGCGAGACCCGACTGCTGACTGCAGCGGTCCTCTGACCTCCACACGGGCTCCACGGCACGCAAACGCCGCTTCGTCAGTTAAAAACTGACTTTGACTTTATAGCCAGCCATCTCCTAAGCTGCAGAGGGAGCCGTCTCTGGCCTCTCTAGGCTCCCCCTCTTTCGTTGGTGTGGGCGGGGTTTCGCCTACCTTCCTGCCGCAATGCGTTCTCTGGCCTGCAGGGGGGGCGCGTACACAGAGGTCGAGCGCGCGCGGGCGCGCGCGAATTCCGGGGGTAGGGGGTGAAACGAGGTGGGCGGCACCGGAAGTATGCGGTTGCCATGTAATATTCCGGCCGCGCGTGCGCGCTAGCGGGCTGAGGAATCTCCGGGGCGGGCGCGTAGAGCTGGCGAAGTGCTTTGGCGGAGGCAGCGCGGAGGAAGGAGGTCGGTTCGGCGGCACGGGAAGAAACCTGAGTCCGGGCGGGACGACCGACTGAGGGAGGCGGCATGTCGGTGGCGGGGCTAAAGAAGCAGTTCTACAAGGCGAGCCAGGTGAGGCGCGGCCGGGTGATCGGGGCTTGGGCCTGGCTCGGGGGACCGCGGGCGAGCGGAGCTGGCTCCCCAGGGCTGGCGGGGAAGAGGAGACCCGTTTTCCGACTGTTCAGGGGCACGGGGTGTGCGCATCTAGGCGGCTCTGAAAAAGCTCTGGAGGGCCGACTAGAGGACCCACTGCCAGGGGCTTGCCGCCAAGCCTCATGACGTGAGTTCGATTCCCGGGACCCCAGGGAGGAAGGAGGGAACCCCGGTTTCCAGGCTGTGTACATCCGGACTCTCACTACATAACTTCATGCCATAGAAAATGTGTGTCTAGGTTGTTTTCAAAAAAAAAAAAATAACTTGATACATTTACCAAGTCCACACAAGGCTTAGAAAGTCTGTCTCATCTCTTTTCTTCGGTATCTCTAAGACGGGTTGCAAAAACAAACGAAAAAACCCCCAAACATTCGCCAGGTGGTACACACCTTTAGTCCCAGCGCTCTGGAGGCAAAGGCAGGCAAGGAGATCTCAGAGTTTGAGGCCAGCCAGGGTTACATAAGGAGACCCTGTCTCAAAAATGAAATAAAAAAGAAAAATCTCTTGGTAGACACTGTACCGAATTATAACATACAATGAAAAGTAATTTTCCACGCTTCTGTTCCAAAATGTCACAGACTTTGTGTCCCCATTCTGAAACACATGTATTTCTTTGAAAGATACATTGATATGGCTGTACCAGACTGTGGACTCCTGGGTACTTGGTCGTTCGGGTTCAATGCTTCTTGGAGCATGAATCTGAACTGAAATTCTGCAGTCTGTCTGCTGTATTGACATTCAGGAGTTAGCTCTCCAGGTGGGCATCTGTTGCATCACTGAACATTGAGAACCTCACCCCCTGGGAGGAGCTCCGTTCATCTTGACAACAGATGTCTTCTGACAACCTGTAACAAACAGCCCTCTGGAACTTTTTTCTTTGCTTTTTGAGACAAGGTTTTGTTTGGTAGTCCAGGCAGGCCCAGAATTTCCTCCTGCCTCTGCCTCCCGGGTGCTGGGATGACAGACCTGCATATATTGAAGGTCTTATATTGCCTTGAACTTTTGGGCACTGTGAGCCTGCTCTCTCAGCCTCTGAGTGCTGGGGCTTGGTCATATGTCTCAGGCTTCCCCTTGAACAAATTTTTGTGTTCTTTGTCCTAGTCTGAGGCTAGAGTGGCCTCTTATTCATTATTCCCCTGTCTCCGCATCCTGGTGCTGGGTTACAAACAGTTGTACCAAACCTCACTAGTGAGATTAGTTTTGTAAGATAAATTCTCTACAAGTGGATTGCCAAGTTCATAGCTGAGTTTTCTGTTGTCTGTTTTGGGTTTCTTTTCTTCTGTCTTTCCTCCCGTCAGGTCGGTCTCTCTCTCTCTCTCTCTCTCTCTGTGTGTGTGTGTGCGCGCGCATGGTGTGTGCATGCTGGGGAAAGAACCCAGGACCTTGTCCACAGTCGCAAATGCTCTACCTTGAGCTATGGCCCCTGCTTGATAATGCATTTTATGTGGGACATTGCTGGAGAACCTGGAAGGCCTGTAATCTCAGACTGGGGGGTTACCCAGGTGACTGAGGCAGGAGGATCAAAAGTTCATGGCCAAGTGAGTTCCAGAAACTTAAGATCTGTTTCCAAATGAAACATTTGTCTGCCATGCCTGCCCCACTAGAGGTTCCCAGGGTCAGGACTGGTATGGCTGTATAAGCCTGTCTTCACTCTGTGCATCCCCTCCCCATGCCACTCTCAGCTCAGAGGCCTGTCCCAGTCAAGGATGTTGGAGCAGCCATGCTCCCCTTATAGGACTCCCAGATAGTTCTCAAAATGCAGAGAACAGAACAAGGCCTGGCCTTGTTGCCCCCCTGTCTGATAGGTTGTGGCAAGATTTTATCTATAAGTTTAGTTGTAAGACTGGGCTACAGAGTAATAACTTGTCTGTATCTCAAAACAACAGCAGATGGTCTGAGTGGGTAGCTCAGTTGGCAGGATGCTTGCCTACCATGCAGGAATCCCTGGTTTGTTAGAGTAGAAGGTCTACAAAGGGAGTTCCAGGGGTGTGTAATGAAACTCCACTCAGAGGCCTGCAAGCCATGGGTTCGTGCAGGGGGCCCTGTGAACATGCAGTTTGTTGCCTGGTTTCTGCTCCAAGAAGCCCCAGATGTGCTAATCCTGTGGCCGTGCAGTGCAGCCCGAGACTTCTGGGTGTGGTACTGGCGCGAGTAGATTCCACAGAGAGATGAGCAACAGTGTGAGGAATTGCTTGGCTGTGCCTGCAAGAAGGGCTCTCCCCATGGTCTGGAGAGGCCCAGCCAGAAGGAGCAGGCAGCTGGTGCACGCTCTCACCCCAGGGGCCAAAAGGGATGGATAAAGACATCTGGGCTCTATCTGTGGGCCTTGGAGGGAGACTGGCAGGTGGAGAGCGAATTAAAGAAGGAAGTACAGGAATGTTGTGTGTTGCAGTGCATGCCCTCAGATGGAGGTGAGTGGGTTTGCACCCGTGCAGGAAGTACAGTAGGCAAGCTCTGTGCCTGAGATCCTTGGAATGTGATGCCAGCCTGGGCCTGAGGCTGTCCTCCTGTTTGAATCCCTGTGGCTCCAGGTCCCTCAGCTGGAGAAGTCTCTGGAGGCCCCTCCTCTGCTGATTCCCAGCAGGCACTGACAGAGAGACCCATTGGGGCAGCCACCAGACTTTGCCTCTTGGTGGGCCACCATCCAACCTGCCTACAAACCTGGAAAGTCCAGCTCAGCTGAGGATCAGTATACTGTTTTGACATTCCAGGGCCCTGTCCCAAAGAATGACTGCTGTGCCCAGGAGTCTGAGCCAGCTCTAAAGAGTTGCACACAGATGGCTCGCAGCCCAGCCTCCTGTAGGATAGGAGTTTCCCCAGTTCCTCCACATCCCACTGTTTCAGCTGGGTCTTTCTCCTGTGTTTCTTTTTTTCTGCTAAATAACACCTCTGTGGTCATCTCCTGAGTCCCTGGAATATCATTTCTTATTAGAGAAGCTACAGGCTAGATGTGGCAGGGCATGCCTGTAATCCCTGTGGGTTCTAAGCCAGCCTGGGCTACATAGTGAGAGCCAATAGGATAAGAGACTGGGGCTCTGTTTGTAGAGCACTCACCTAGTTTGTAAGGAAGCCCTGGTGGGCTCCATCCCCAATCCACCCCCACTGTAGGAGCCCACACCTGTCATTTAGAGGTGGAGGCAGGAGGATCAGTTCAACTATATAGTATGTTTGAGGCCAGCTTGGGTTACATGAGACCCTGTCACAGAAAAGATAAAAGAATCCTCAGCCCACACTGGCAAGAATCAGAAATGACTGGTTATGGAAAGATGTTTGGGGTGTCGAGGCAAGGTATGAATGGAGTAAGGCAGGATAGGTAACAGGCAACTTCTGACAGGTAAGACTGTGACTCTGGTCCCATTGATACAAAAGTCACAGGTTCCCAGCTCGTCCCCCAGCTGAGCCTGCAGGTACATGTGAATGTGTAAAATGAGCTTGGGTGTTGAGGGAAGTTGGGAGTTTCACTTCCTACAGGTGAGGCAGTGGAGGGATGGTGGCTCCCACTGTCTCCTCACCCTGGTGTGAGTGTGGAGGACTGAGGGCTCTGAGGAAGTCTGGGTGCAGATGGAAGTGGCCTGTGGCTCAAGTTTCTTTGGGTGTCTTCACTATTAGCCTGAGCTGACTGGTTTCCTGGTCATTCTGTGATGGCCTGGAGGCAAAGTATAACTAAGATGGTGCTTGTGCCACCTGGAATGTAGACTTCATCCCCCCCCCACACACACACACAGCGCTTTTTGCCTGAGAGAAAGGGAAAGTTTGTAAAGAAGGGTTGGTTGGTCTGATTTAGGAAGAAAATTGGCAGCTATGTGGCTGTGGGGTACCAGGCAAGTGCTTGGTGAGCCCCCGCCCCCACCCATAAGACCTGAAGGTTAGGAAGGGTTGCAGACTTGGGACTCTGTGGGTTTGGAGTTGTAATGTGCTCTCTCTCTCGCTCTCTCTCTCTCTCTCTCTCTCTCTGTCCTTGTTGGAGGCGGAACACAAGGCCTCTTGCGGATGGGCATTCGGTGACATCCTGGCCCTCACTTTGAGGCCACATTTAATCTATGAGCTGAAAGTCCACCTGAGTCAGAGCCCTGGGCTCCCAATGCAGTGTCCCAGCTAATCGTTCACCTAGGTGTGGTCGGCCACCTCCACTATGCTTAGACAGCCTGGGCAGCTCCAGCCCAGAGCATCGCAGCAGCCACTGTGCCAGGAAGATGGGGACTGGCAGATCTTGTTATAAGTCCCATCCCCATCATCTGAGCGTCCCAGGTGCCACTTTACCTATTAGTGCCCACTCCCCTCCTCCCTGTTCTTCAGCCTGGGCTCTTCCAGAGAGGCCCCTGCTATGTGTATATGCATGCAGTGCACATACATGTATCTGTGTGTGTGCATATGTATCCATTTCCCCCACCAAGCACAGTCTTTGGTTGGTCGGGGTCCTGCACCCTCTCTGATCCTCCACATCCTACTTCCCTGGTAGGATTTGAGAGGCCAAAGCAGGCAGCTGTGTGGGGAGGGGAGCCAGGCCCAGGTTTGGCTCTCTGCTTGGCACCCCCAGCTCCAGCCCAGGGCTTCTTTTCTTTTTCTTGTGGGGGAGGGCAGGGATCAACCTGGTACCTTCCACTGTTAGAAACTGGGACTCACCTAAGACTGGCATGACTGGCCAGGGTCCCTGTGTCCAGCAGCACTGGAACTACCAGTTTTCAGCACAGCCAGCTTTTCATATGGGAGCTGAGATCAATGTGGTGGGCACTGTACCATCTGAGCCATCTCATCCCGTTTACTTACTTTATTCCTCTGAGTTTTTGTTTGTGAGATGGGGTCTCAGTCTATCACCTAGGCTAACAACACACTCACACCCTGTGCTGGGGTCATGGCTGTGTGACTGTAGAATGGCTGGGTCTCTGCTGTCTGGTCCTCTCTTGAGCTCTCCCTGGAAA